ACTGCATTCTCTTTCCAGATTAGATACCACTCTCCTGAGGAGGAAATAGCACTTGGACCTGCTTGCTGGCTGTGGGATTATCTAAGAAGAAGTGGTGCATCTGGTTTTCTGCTTCCACTTTCTGGTGGTGCTGATAGTTCCTCCGTTGCTGCTATAGTTGGTTCAATGTGCCAGCTTGTAGTAAAAGGTTTATTGAACTAACTGCCCTTCTAAACATATATATTGTTGTGTTCTAGCTATTTCCCTGTACTTGTAGCTAGTTTTTGACAATCGTATTGTCGTCATAGTACATAGGTTTTTCCGTAGTTTGGGGGTGCAGGATAAAAATGCAGTTGTATGTTTCCCTATCCTCTATAGCCGTTTGAACCTTCTACTAGTTTCTTATGTGAACTAATAGCCGCCGGAGGAAAATGATAGATAATGGTTGTGTTGTATGATTACTAAATTTGATGATTTCTTCTCTAAAAAAGTGAGAGCATGGAGTTCTTTTTTTGGTAAAGTAAACAAATTTCTAAAGAATGATGGTTCACTTATAGGATATTAGGATAACTTCTTGTGGCGTTGCTGAACTGAAAATGCTACAACATGGCCAAAATTTAGGAGGATCCTTGATTTATTTCGTGGTCAAGGTTCTGTTTCTGCTTCAGATCAACTGTTTTTTCGTCTAATGTTCTAGAGCTGGCAAGAAATTGTATGAATGATCTTATTATTCATGCATGCTCTCCTATACACATACTATGTCTTCAGTTATGTTGTGCTGGCTGATAAATTGCATCATGCTGCTAGTAATGTCTATTTCATCATTTTAGTTCAAGGTAAACAGCATGAGCAGCATGTCTGAAGATAAGCAGACTATTGAGTTTTGTTTTCTTTATAATTCAATTATAACTGTCAATGCAGAAATTGCAAACGGCGACAAGCAGATAAAAGCAGATGCTATTCGAATTGGCCATTACACTGATGGTCAATTTCCAACAGATAGCAAAGAATTCGCTAGACGCATTTTTTACACTGTTTTTATGGGATCTGAAAATAGGTAAGAATGTCAGCAAGTCCCATTATTCTGTCCTTCTCAGATTCTGTTCTGATCTATATGTATTCTCTGGTTCCTTAATTGGCATGGAATTGAAACTCCGAAGTAATAAATGACTGCTTTGCTGATCTATATGTATTCTTTATAACTTCTTTGCTAATTTTCAGTTGGAATTTTTTTTTATTTGCCTGGCCTTGGGCAGCATACTTCTGGTTCAGAACTGGGAGCCTTTTTAGTACAACAACATACCCAGTGTTGTCCCACAAGTGGGGTCTAGGGAGCCTTTTAGTAATCTTAATAAATGTAGGAAATTTGAACTTCACAAATATGAGAATTTGGGTCATCGTGAACTCTTGGCTGGACTCACTGTCATGCTACTGCCTGCTAAACCAAGCTTATACCCGTCCTAGGAATTCTAGGGGTCAGCCCTACCTATGATTTGTCCTCAAATGACATTTATTCTCTAACATCAAGGTACTCAGTAGCAGTCTGAGAACTACATAGTCACCATGAGTCTAATGACACCTTTGCTTTGAACTTTAAGGGTTTTGCATGTTTCACTTGTATATGGTGGAGTATATTAGAGCGAGAATGATCATCCCCAACTGAAGCAGATGATTAAATAAAAGATTTCAGACCTTTTCTATTGAATCATAGATGTCTTATTCAATAGAATCTCTCTTCTGTAGAACACTAAAACTCTTCTTTCCAGAACTCTGTTTGAAAAATGATCTATTTGACTTATAGTTGAGATAAACTTGTGTTGTTGATAGTGTATGCATATGACAGTTCAGAAGCCACAACAACTCGGGCAAAGGTGTTGGCCGATGAGGTAGGATCATGGCATCTTAATGTGAGCATCGATGGAGTGGTCTCTTCGCTAATCTCTCTGTTTCAAACACTCACTGGAAAGCGTCCACGCTATAAGGTAGAAAAGTTTGAAATAAATATTACCATTATCTATCTATTTGCTTTTATGTGTTCGCTTAACTGAAGTGAAACCCTTAACCTCATGTTGTTTGGTCAACTAATAGTTGGTTGGACTAAGAGAAACTATATCTGGAATAAAGACTAAGCTATTGCTTCACAGTGCAATCTTGACCTGTTTATTTGTCTGCAGGTAGATGGGGGATCAAACATTGAAAATTTAGGGTTGCAAAACATTCAAGCTCGGGTCCGAATGGTCCTGGCATTCATGTTAGCATCTCTGCTGCCATGGGTCCATAACAAACCTGGGTTTTATCTGGTTTTGGGTAGCTCCAATGTGGATGAAGGATTGCGTGGTTACTTAACAAAGGTAAAAAAAATTGTTCTTTGAAATATTGTGTCACTATTAACCGCATTTATCCTATAATAGCATCTTGTTAACCGAGGATTTACGGGAAACTACTACTGTAGTGCGTTTTGAATTGATTTGTGGCCGTCTTGAACTCTCCTTGTATATTTATTCTATGGTTGGTGAATGTCAATAAACAGATAGTAACAAATTGGATTCACGGTTTTTCTTTAGCTGATCTCTTGTTTCTCTAACACATATCCTGGTGATAACTGTCTATCATGCAGTATGATTGTAGTTCAGCAGATATAAATCCAATTGGAAGTATCAGTAAGATGGATCTTCGAACATTTCTGAAATGGGCTGCCGTTCATCTTGGCTACTCATCCCTGGCAGAGATTGAAGCTGCACCGCCCACTGCTGAATTGGAGCCTATACGTGCGGATTACAGTCAGGTATCTGATTTAGTTTACTGCCAATTTCAGTCTTTATGATGCTTTTCCTAGTAATGCTGGTGACCATTATTTCCTGTTTCTGGTATTTTTTTCATCCTTCCGTTTGGGAGAGTTCTCACCCCTAGATTCGATAATTTTAGCATGAAAGTTCTTGACATCTCTTTTAACTAAATATGTGGAGTTTGGTTATGTATGAAGAAGTGATCAAGCGCAATTAGAAGTTTTCACATTACAATATTTGTTTAACAGTTGGATGAAGTGGATATGGGTATGACCTATGAAGAACTTTCGGTGTACGGACGGTTGCGCAAGATTTTCCGCTGTGGACCTCTATCAATGTTTAAGGTTTGTCCTGTTCATTCTGTAAGACATTATAGAATCAGACTTGTTATAGGTCATTTCTTCCACATATTTTTGTAGTCCTTGACAAGTACTGAATGATCATATTGCAGAATTTGTGTTACAAATGGGGAACAAAGTTGACGCCTGCAGAGGTGGCTGACAAAGTGAAATACTTCTTTAAATACTATTCCATCAATAGACACAAGATGACTGTCATGACACCTTCATATCATGCTGAGGTACTTCACTTCTATGTTGCATGGATCCATTACTTGCATTGAGATATCTGTCTGGTAATGTTAGAGTAGTCCCACATAGGGCATTGAATAAGGTTACTAGCAAGTCACCGCTTTGAATGTTAGAGCTCAAGTCAGACCAGAATCGCAAGCTTTTCTCTTTGCGGTTCATAAGAGAGTGAGAAAAAAAGAAAAAAGAGGGGGAAAAAGAATTAAAGTTTACAGATTGGGTATGGCCTTTTATATGGCCGTGGACAATCCTCGCCTCATGAGATGGCTTTTAGGCACTTCATGGATACCTCAAACATATGCAGAAAGTCTGCAAATGCTCTTATGGAAATACTTATATATCCATGCAACTTGAGGCTTAAAACCATTTTAATGCTTTTGTTAGGTTTGTTTCGTCAGAGGAGCCTCATCATCATCCACATCTCAATCCCAACCAAGTCAAATTCGCCCATACGAGTTTTCACTTACTATATCGCATCTTAGACCGTCATTACACAGAGTAAAATGAAAATAAAACTGCTATATGATCTTTGGATGTTTCATCAGACAAGCATATGACTTTTTTTGTATTGCAGAGTTATTCACCCGAGGACAATAGGTTTGATCTGCGCCAGTTCCTGTACAATGTCCGATGGCCTTACCAGTTTCGCAAGATTGATGAACTTGTAAACGAGCTTGATGGTGATAAAATTGCTCTTACAAAATCGACTGATGGGGAAAATGTGAACGTTACAGCTGATGGTGGGATGGGTGTTGTGGCAGCAGGCTCGGGTGATCCAAGAGCTGGCTTCTAATTCTAACTTGACACAGTTTAGCTCATAATACAGCTGATAAGGAGATACAGGATTTCCAAATGTTTTCTGAACTATTGAGTCTAATTTACGTACGTCGAATTTACTCTTATTTAAGAAAAATCAGTTCAATATTTTTCAATAATGAAAACCCCATCATTTGTGATCTGTTGTATAAACAAAAAATTTTATATTTTGAGATCAAATCTATCATTCTTCTTAAGTTATATCGAAATCTCGAGGGTAAAAAGGTGAGAAGCTCCAATAGGAGCATTTGCCTCCTCGCAAGGAAGTTTGCCGGACTATGATGAGAACTTAGGGATCATTTATTTAGATCAAAATCACCGATATTTGATTCTAACTTCGAAATAGGATTAAAAAAATCGCAATTGTTAGGGAGCATAATTTATCCCGACCATAAGTAATTTTATTAACTAAATAAACCATAAGGTTATATCGAAATAATTCAACTCCGACCAAACTTAAGGCTAACTTTATTAACAAGGTTTCGGAATTCGTTACTACTTTATATCCTTATTTTTAACAATAAGATTAGGAGGCTAACCTCCTCCTTTTTCTCTTTCTACTATATGCGGTATTATTTGTCTTATTTCATTTGTGTTGTATCATTGTATTCTTAGGTACAAGTCATCCAAAGTATTGGCACTTGTCAGCAAGAGAACATGTCCAATGTAATAACTGGGTCGAAATAGGAGTCAGATTATGATGCTCAAAAGATGAACTAAATAAAATTCTGAAGTTGTATTCAACAGATCGAAGCAACATACAAGCCGTCGTTCTCAAAGAACGGAAACATCCTTTAGTAAAATCTTCACCTAAAAAAAACTAAGCGAAGGGGGGAGAGATTTTTCAGAACGAATGACAAAACTTGCACTAACCCTCACTTCAAACTACTCTATATATCCTCATTTCCTGCATCTTTGCAGTATCAATGGAGATTCTTTGGAACAGCTTACAGCTCATCATGGCTGTCATCTTCTTCTTCCGATGCACCGCCACCTGGGGCTCCACCTGATCGTTGATAAACAGCTGTGATGATTGGGTTGCAAACTGCCTCGACCTCTTTGAGCTTCTCGTCATAGTCCTCTTTCTCGGCGCTCTGGTTATCGTCTAACCATTCAAGGGCTTCTTTCGTTGCTGTCTCAATCTTCTCCTTCTCATCAGACTCGAGTTTGTCAGCTAATTTGTCCTTGTCGTTGATTTGATTCTTCATGTTGTACACGTAGGTTTCCAAAGCGTTACGGGCATCAATCTTCTCCTTCACTTTCTTGTCTTCCTCAGCAAACTCTTCTGCTTCACGAACCATACGCTCAATCTCTTCTTGGCTTAAGCGGCCCTTGTCGTTTGTAATGGTAATCTTCTCTGCTTTTCCAGTACCCTTGTCTTCTGCTTTGACATTCAAGATACCATTGGCATCAACTTCGAATGTGACCTCAATTTGGGGGGTTCCCCTGTTCAAACAATATCAAGTTTCCAATTCAGATCCCAAAAAGTTGTTTGTACAATTATCTAAAGAGAAGAAATGTAACTGACCTTGGAGCTGGAGGAATTCCTGTAAGATCAAACTTCCCGAGATTCCTACAGTCCTTGGTAAGACTCCTTTCACCTTCAAAAACCTGTAATCAACATGTGGAGAAAAAACAGTGAGAATCGGAGCATACCAGAGGACAGGTTAATGAACATTTCTGGATAATGAGCTGTAGGATTGCACAAATATGAAGCAAAGCAATACCTGAATGGAGACAGTGGTCTGCTGGTCTTGGTAAGTGGTGAAGACCTGGGACTTCTTGGTTGGGATAACGGTATTTCTGGGGATCAATTTGGTCATCACACCACCAACGGTTTCAATACCAAGGGTGAGAGGAGCGACATCCAGGAGAAGGATATCTGCATACAAGAAACATGTCACAATCATTCACCAAAAGCTGCAAACTCACACGTTATCAAAACCAATAAGCAAATTATGGCAAGAAAACTAATTAGATCATGTACCTTTAGTTTCATCTCCACCCTCACCACTGAGGATACCACCTTGAACAGCAGCACCATAAGCAACTGCTTCATCAGGATTTACACCCTTGCTGGGCTCCTTCCCGTCAAAATAGTCTTTGAGGAGCTGTTGCACCTTAGGAATTCTGGTGCTTCCACCAACAAGAACAATCTCATCAATCTGGTTCTTTTGTAGGCCAGCATCATCCATTGCCTTCTTCACAGGTCCCATTGTCTTTCTGAAGAGATCATTGTTCAACTCCTCAAAGCGAGCACGGGTCAGTGGTTCAGAGAAATCAGTACCATCAAATAATGATTCAATCTCAACCCGGACTTGGTGCTGGCTACTAAGGGATCTCTTGGCACGCTCAGCTTCTCTCCTTAGCTTTCCAAGAGCTCTGTTGTCCTTGCTGATGTCCTTTCCATGCTTCTTCTTGATCAACTTGATGAAGTATTCCATAATCCTTTGATCAAAGTCCTCACCTGCAAGATGTATCGGATATTCAAAATATAATCTAAGAATAACTATCTCATAGGATGGCATCTGAATCTTCCTCAGCTATCATAAAATACCCTCCCAAAAGAGCAACCCCACTAATGTGCAATCAATAGAAAAGTGTTTTAGCATTTCATTAGTTGATATCAAGTTGAGGAGAAGTCCATTAGAAAATACAATCAGGACACCCTAACAGCATTATGGTTAGCAGTATCAAAATGTGTCATGCTCAACTTTAAGTTGTTTCTATACCATAGATCCTTACCTCCAAGATGGGTGTCACCATTTGTTGCAAGAACCTCAAATACACCATTGTCAATGGTCAGAATACTGACATCGAATGTCCCACCACCAAGGTCAAAGACAAGAATGTTCTTCTCACCACCTTTCTTATCCAGTCCGTAGGCAATGGCTGCAGCTGTTGGCTCATTAATGATCCTAGCAACATTTAATCCAGCAATAACACCAGCATCCTTTGTCGCCTGTCTTTGTGCATCATTGAAATATGCTGCAGAGACGAGACAAGTCTCTAAATAATGACAGAAAAGAAAAATGAAAACAAAAAAATTGAACATTTGGGACCTGATAACAACATACCAGGAACAGTGACCACAGCATCCTTAATAGTCTTCCCAAGGAATGCTTCGGCTGTCTCTTTCATCTTTGTCAAAATCATGGCGCTGATTTCCTCAGGACTAAATACCTTAACTTCTCCATCCTTGATTTTGACTTGTATGTAGGGCTTTCCATCCTTGCTGACAATCTTGTACGGTACCAGCTTCATATCCCTCTGTACTTCCTTATCTTCAAATCTGAAAAAAAAAGAAGATAAAGCATCTCTTAGCATGACAGATATACAATCATAACAAAACATGTGAAACTAATTGAGAATTGTCCATTACTTTCTTCCAATCAGCCTCTTAACATCAAAGATTGTTCTTTCTGGGTTGACCGCAGCCAGGTTCTTGGCAGCCTCACCAATCAATCTCTCGTTATCAGTGAATGCAACCCATGATGGTGTAATCCTGTTTCCTTGGTCATTAGCTATAATCTCCACATGACCATTCTTGTACACCCCAACACAGGAATAGGTTGTCCCAAGATCAATTCCTATAACGGTACCAAGTTTTGTAGCCTCCTCCTTTGCATTGGAAAGTGCAGAAAGACAGCCTGTTTCAAGGAAAAGAGTAAGATAACAGATGACCCTCATCAGACTCTGGAAGTACAATATGAAATTCATGACATAACACAGCAAAAGGAATATATGTATGCACGTATGGAACTCATAGTCATATAAATCATTCGTACCTATTCCACTCAACTCAAGTCAACATACAGGCTATTCAGTAGAAATAAAAAAAGGGTCATAGAACATAGATAAGCTAAGAACAAAAACCAGCAACTTTTCGCATATTCAGACGATCAGTCAGCTAAATAAAAGGGTTTTCAAGTATCCATAGGATCTGAAAACGATCCTTCTAAATGTACATCATCCAGAACCACAGTCCAAACATGCATCCCAAATTATTAGCATTCTAGCAAGTACAAATTAAAAGGCTTGTCACCCGGAAAAAAAAAAGAGGACGACGATAAATGTCTAAAAGGTTCAGGATATATGCAATGCCAGTGTAGCAGTGACCTTGTTTCTCTGTCTGGAGTTAAAATCTGATCTAGAGTAGAAACTAGAATACATACACGGACAGATGCACGGGTGCATGTGAACCAACTACCTTTGCCATGGGACTATAAATAGATAATATACACACACCACGGTTATCAACATCTGATTAGATGATGTAATTCTTCAATCAAAAACAAGAACAGGAGAAAATAGCAGTGAGAATCTAATAAATGTTTGCTTATATTTATAAATGATAAAGCACCTAACCACTAATTTCATATCAGATACAGCGTTATTTCCACTTCATAAACGAGCATTTGAAATTCTCCTGTGGCGCACCACATGAATCATGCATCGACTATTCTATTCCAGTGCTAAATCATTTCTCCATTAAACACGATCGAGGAAATCAAAACAAGCCATATCAATCACACAAAACACCATACAAATCCTCAAACAGATGTGAAATTGTGTGAAAACTATCGCTAGATCTAAAATTAGCACATCAAACCTACAAATCTACAATGAAAACGCATACATTATAAACAAAAGCTAACAGATCTAGGATCTACTACATTCTAGATCATAACATAACAAATCAAATCTCATAAACCAGAAAAAATTCAAAAAACAATAATCAAAACAGATCTACGAGCAAATAGAAACAGAAAGTTTACCTAATAAAACGATCGCTAGCACGACGAGAGAATTGCCTCGCCTCGAACAGGCAGCCATAGCTTCTTCCTTCGTAATCAACGTAGAATACACTAAGCTACAGGTACAACACAATGTGATCCCTCTGTTTATCTTTTTCAGTTATGAAGAACTGGAAATGATGAGAGATTTATATATATAGAGCCTCGCGAGGTGATCGGGAGCTTTTTATACTGTGAGAAACTGAACAAAGACCCGAGGGGTCTCCGTTCAAAGAGTGACATTAGACACGTCATGTTAAATGACGTGGGCCAATAGGAAGAGGAGGGTGAATTCTTGAGCCAATAGCGATTGATCTTGTGCTGGGATGATCACGACCGTATGATTCGCTTCTGTACACGTGTCAGCATGAGAGATTATTAGGAATTTCAAGTAGGCTCACTTGCCATAGAGAGACATAAGTACATCAAAATAATGAGATTTGAATTTAATGTATGAAATTTTGTTGGATAGATCTTTAATGTATTTCAAAAATTGGTCAATTTAGTTAAAAATAAATAATATATGTATTTAATATTAAAATTGACCAATTTTTTAAATACTTTAAGGATCTGCGTGTATTGAGCGTAAGCTTCTACTTTATAAACTAATGTTATTGTACATCAATCAATTCTATATTTTTAAAATCACATAAAAAAATTATTTTAATGCGAAGAACAATGAAAAAGAATTTGTGTATGAATGATTCTTGATTAATTTTAATTGGAAAGTCTCTTTTTAATGAGAAATTTATTATACTCTGATTAATTTGAAGAAGAATCTAGGGTTTCATTTTGCACATGTAGGCTATTTTTATTTTAACGATAAAAGAACAATGTTTCGCTAATTAGAGATCTTAGGACTAATTGATACTTCTAAGATGCATCCAAAACCTTTTTTATCATGTTTATATATTAAGAAATCAAATGAAGCAAAGTTTGATGTTTTTGTCCATGAAGAAAAAGAAATGAAGAAACTAAGACTCGAAAATTACATACATTTATGATTATTAGTATATTTCTATGTTTCTTTAATCACCGAAACAAACAAGTAAAAATAGAGAAAGAATACTCATAAGAAAAATCATATAAAGGAGAATAAAAAGAGATACGCAGAAGAAGGCAAAAGAAGCTCACCAATTTCAATCTTCAAAGAGATCGATCTGCAAGAGTTTGAGATGCGAATTAAGAGTCGAGAGAAGGTCGCTCATAGAGTAGCCCTCCAATTGCCCTCCAGTTTTTGAGTGTACGTCAGAAGCAATTATTACTTACACACATATATATAGTGCCTTTCCACGCACTTTCGCCAATCAAATTAGGCCACGGGGCAAAAATTAAAAGAGTCATACCGTATATATTATGTTGATTTATGTACAACCGTGTGATGCTATATTGTGCTCCACTTTTGACTTCTATAATATAAAAGGTATATCTTTTATATATACCTTTTATATATATAATATTATCGAGATTTATGTTGTCTCATGTATGTCTCTCTCTCACACACATATATATAGAGAGAGTGTCTTTACATATGCTCTCGCCAATCAAATTAGGTCACAGGGCAAAAATTAAATGAATTATAGTGTATACTTTGTGTTGCTTTATATACAATATGTGATGTTTCATTCTGCTCCGCCCGTGACTTCTGTAATATAGAAAGTGTGTCTCCTGTAAATATAATTTATTTTTTCTAGATCTATGCACTTCCTAGTGTTTCTGCCAATTAGATTAGATCATGAGGGCAAAAATTAAAAGAATTATATTGTATACTTTATGTTGCTTTTCACACAATCATGTGATATTGTGTTCTATTGAAATAATGTATATACATGTATTACATATTTATTCTTTCACAGTACATTAGACTAGTTTACTTATTGATTAAGTTTGTTACTTAGTTAGTTAAGTTGGTTACTTAGTTAGTTAATTGACAGCTGTAGTTTGTTAGTTTGATAGATAGGTTGTTAGATACTTTTCATATCATCTATTATAAATGTACTCATACAGAAGGAATGGATTAGTTTTTCATATTCTCACAAATAATGTTTTACAGTTCTTTTTTCTCTCTTCTTCATCCTTAATACAACATCAGAAGAGAAGCAGCCATGGATGAGTCTCAAGCTCTCAATATAGCTTGAATATCCTATTTCAAAGTTTTGACAGCTCCAGCCCTTTCTAGCTTTTTCTATTTTTAATTTTCAGTTGAGCAGTTCCAAATTGACTAGTAGACGTTTTCTAACAAAGTTGACTTGATATTTATGGTGACTCGAATTCGACACCTCTAGTTAAGGATGAAAAAAATATTTAACACTCCATCACAACTCTTGTTGGCGTTTAATTTCAAGGGTGTCAAAAATTAGCTAAAATATAGGTAATCCACCATAATTTTATGGGTTGAGCTCAACATAATTGAATCGGGTCAATTTCAACTTACTTAAACCTTAATCCATTTTAAGAGAATCTTCAATTGCGGCAACTTAATCTCTAATTTCAATCTATTTTGAAGACTCCTTATTTGTATTGGTGTAATATACATTCTCAGAAGATATGTATTATTATCTATTTTATATCTTCTAATATTTATCTATCAATTTGTGACTTATTCTTTTATTTTGTTGAGTTGGATTTCAAATTGTGATTATATAAGGTGAATGAATTACATATTACTAATTTTTTTTAAGATAAGCGAATAAAATTGTGCGCATCATCACCAATTCTATTTTTAGCCCCTTTGAGCTCAAAATAAATTTGAACTAAACATGACCCAACCCATTTTCTAAATCAATTCAATCTCCAATTTCAATCACACTCCCATTTAACATCCCTAACTTAGCTTCTAAAATATTGAAAAAGTACCTTTCCTAAAAATGCAAAAAGTTTCAGATTTTTTATAACACATAAATTTTAACTTTATCATTAAAAATTGTAATTCATAGCTAAAACCACAAGTTAATACCTCAGATGGTCACTCAACTATGCATTTTTCTCTCAGAAAGTCACTCAACTTTCAATTTTCATTCAGAAAATCACTCAACTTTCAATTTTAACTCAAAAGTCACTCAATTATCCACTCTTTTCTCAGAGGGATTAATTTAGGATTAAAGATAAAATAAAATGGGTCATATTATATTTTTTAATGGGCGGGTTAGGTGGATGGATCACTAAATGATTTAATTTATTTTTTAAAATTTTTGGTTTGTTATATAAATAATTAATATCAATAAATTTTAGTTAAAAAAATAATTTAATAGATTGAGTGACTTTTTGAGGAAGGAGTGGATAGTTGAGTTTGAGTTAAAATTTAAAGTTGAGTGACTTTATGAGAAAGAAGTGCATAGTTGAGTGACTTTTGAGTGAAAATTGAAAGTTGAGTTTGTGAGAGAAAGTGCTTAGTTGAGTAACCACCTTATTTATGAATTCAATCGATTAATTCTTAGCATGGAATATTATGTAACATCCAATAATTTATATATATATTCTCTATTTTGTTACAAAAAATTGTTATGAAGCACCACTATAAATATAACTTTTCTAAATTTTTGAATTAATCAATTCTGTTCAGCCTGATACAACTGCTTGGGTTTCTTCTCATCTAGTTTACAAAGCGGTTAATTTTTTTGCCTTTTCTGTAAATACACCATTATCAACCCCTAAAGAAGCTTTGTGCGCTTTTCAACAATGGCAATCGCTTCGCCATCGGCTCCGTCTTTCTCGGCATCTATCTGCTGTACTCGTACTGACTTAACTTCAGCTCGTTCACTTCGATTCCCGCCGATCCAAACTCGGCTTCAATCTCGGCAATTCACGTTCTCTTGTCGGTCCTCTGGGCCTTCATCAAATGAATCCGAAGCCGATCTCCAGTACGAGCTTCAGCATGGAGTTTCTACTGACCATCGACGGTGCGGTTCGCTGGTGTTCGTCACGCTTCCGCTTGATACTCTTAATTTCCCCGAAGGAACTATGAAGAGGAAGAAGGCGATGGTGCAGTCGTTTCGTGCTTTGGCGGCCGCTGGTGTTGAAGGAGTTGTGATGGAGGTATGGTGGGGACTGGTGGAGAGTGAATTGCCTAGGGTTTATAATTGGGAAGGGTATTTGGAGATTGTGGAGTTGGCTAAACGTTGTGGATTGAAAGTTCGAGTTGAAATGGCATTTCATCAATACGGTACAGGGCCTGATGATCCTTTCTGGTTCGTACACGTTCCGAATCTCTTCTTTTGCTCTTGTTTGGATACCAAAAACGAAGTGTTGTTTGTTAGTGGTTAAACATTTTACTTTATTTTCTCGTTCAATTACGTCTTGTTTTATTCCTTGAAAACGAATATAATTCTCAGATCACAAAACAAATTAACTTGAAGAGTTGAATGTCTAGCTGCCGCTAGTAGTTCACATGATCGACTATTACATGAATTTAAGTTTCTTCGCGTTTGACATTATTAGTTGAATCTTTTGAATAACATTTACCTGTAGTATGGTAGAATGCAAATCTTCTAATCGTCTCTTTTGGTGTTCCAGTAAGCTTGACAGTTACCATTTGACTCATAATTTGTAGCTTCTTTTTTTTTTTTGTGTGTGTGTGTGTCTGTGTGTTCTAGCAAGCATTAGGGCTTGCTGGAGGGTGTTTAAGCCATTAAGTGAAGCTTATGGGATGTGTGGCTTGGAAATCCGTATGTTGGAAATAATACTTAGGTATGTGTTCAGTTTCACATTATATAGCTTAAGCACCTTTACTTAGTTTTAGTGATTGCATATTGGAACGGAGTAAGAGAAGCTTCTTGGACTGTCTTGAACTAGATTCAACTGATTTTAAGGAGAATCCTATATCAAACTAGTTGACATATTAGTTATTGGGGTACATGTTTAGAATGCTCAGTTTTGTACTGTCAGGTTCCCTGGAATTGAAGATGACTTCTGTATATTCTGTCAAGTTTCATACTGGTATATGTTAAATTATTAAGTCCAAAAAAAGTTCATACTAGTACTTATAAAAAGATAATGCTTTACGGAGTTTCAAATAAGATCTTAGAAAAACGTTTTTTGGTTTTGAACAACATAACTTGTATATGAGCCTATACCTTCAATTCAATTTTCCACAAACAAGTTAAAACCCTGGATCCTTTTTTATATAAAAGTGGGTTTGATGGTTAGTTTTCTTTCAGGAG